CCCCCAAACGGGGGTTCTGGGGGCCGGGACCCCCCGGTCCCCCCCAACCCGGGCTCGGGGGGCTGCAGAGGTGCAGGTGCTGCTGCTGGACGATCTGCTGGTGCTGCTGCAGCGGCAGGAGGAGCGGCTGCTGCTGCGCTGCCACAGCCGCGCCCTGGCGCCCGCGCCCGACGGCAAGCGCCTGCTGAGCCCGGTGATCCGGCTGCGCTGCGCCATGACCCGCCAGGTGGCCACAGGTGCGGCTTTTGGGGGGCTGAACCCCTTTTTGGGGGGCCGAGCCCCTTTTTGGGGGGCTGATCCCCTTTTGGGGTGTTATTGGGAGTCAGAGGCGCCTGCTGAGCCCGGTGATCCGGCTGCGCTGCGCCATGACCCGCCAGGTGGCCACAGGTGCGGCTTTTGGGGGGCCGAGCCCCTTTTTGGGGGGCCGAGCCCCTTTTTGGGGGGCTGAACCCCTTTCTGGGGGGCCGAGCCCCTTTTGGGGGGCTGAGCCCCTTTTGGGGTGTTATTGGGAGTCAGAGGCGCCTGCTGAGCCCGGTGATCCGGCTGCGCTGCGCCATGACCCGCCAGGTGGCCACAGGTGGGGCTTTTTGGGGGGCCGAGCCCCTTTTTGGGGGGCCGAGCCCCTTTTGGGGGGCTGAACCCCTTTTATGGGGGCCGAACCCCTTTTTGGGGAGCTGAGCCCCTTTTTGGGGGGCCAAACCCCTTTTTGGGGGGCTGAGCCCCTTTAATGGGGGGCTGAGCCCCTTTTTGGGGGGCTGAACCTCTTTTTGGGGGACCGAACCCCTTTTATGGGGGCTGAACCCCTTTTTGGGGGGATGAACCCCTTTTTGGGGGGCTGAACCCCTTTTTGGGGGGGCTGAACCCCTTTTTGGGGGGCCGAACCCCTTTTATGGGGCTGAACCCCTTTTATGGGGGGATGAACCCCTTTTATGGGGGCCGAACCCCTTTTTGGGGGGCTGAGCCCCTTTTTGGGGGGGCTGAGCCTCTTTTATGGGGGGCTGAACCCCTTTTTGGGGGTCAGAACCCCTTTTTGGTGGTGTTACTGAGGTGCTGAACCCCTTTTTGGGGGGGCTGAACAATTTCTGGGGTGTTTAGCCCATTTTTGGGGGGCAGAACCTCTTTTGGGGGTGTTATTGGAGAGCAGAACCCTTTTTAGGGGTGTTTCTGGGGGCAGAGCAGCTTTTTGGGGTGTTTTGGGGAGCAGAACCATTTTTGGGGAGCTTAGCCCATTTTTTGGGGGCAGAACCCCATTTTTGGGGTGTTTCTGGGGGGCAGAACCATTTTTGGGGGGCAGAACCCCTTTTTGGGGGGCAGAACCCCTTTTTGGGGTGTTTCTGGGGGGCAGAACCATTTTTGGGGGGCAGAACCCCTTTTTGGGGAGCAGAACCCCTTTTTGGGGTGTTTCTGGGGGGCAGAACCATTTTTGGAGGGCAGACCCCCTACTCGAGGCCAGTTTGGGGCCAATTTGGGCCCTTTTGGGGCCGACTTTTGTGGCCAGGGTCCCCCCGAGCCCCCCAGTCTCATTTCTGGGGGGTCCTGGGCTCTGTTTTGGGGGGTCCCGACCCGGGGTGCCCCCCATCCCCCCCAATCTCATTTCTGGGGGTCCCTGGCTGTGTTTTGGGGGTCCCTGGCTGTGTTTTGGGGGTCCTGGGCTGTGTTTTGGGGGTCCCTGGCTGTGTTTTGGGGGTCCCTGGCTGTGTTTTGGGGGTCCCAGGCTGTTTTTTTGGGGGGTCCCTGGCTGTGTTTTTGGGGGGTCCTGGCCCGGGGTACCCCCAGCCCCCCCAGTCTTCATTCTGGGGGTCCCTGGCTGGTTTTTTGGGGGTCCCGGGCTGGTTTTTGGGGGTCCCGGCCCGGGGTACCCCCATCCCCCCCAATCTCATTTCTGGGGGTCCCTGGCTGTGTTTTTGGGGGGTCCCGACCCGGGGTGCCCCACATCCCCCCCAATCTCATTTCTGGGGGTCCCTGGCTGTGTTTTGGGGATCCCGGGCTGGTTTTTGGGGGTCCCTGGCTGTGTTTTGGGGGTCCCTGGCTGGTTTTTGGGGGGTCCCGGCCCGGGGTACCCCCAGCCCCCCCAGTCTCCATTCTGGGGGTCCCGGGCTGTGTTTTTGGGGTCCCGGGCTGTGTTTTGGGGGTCCCTGGCTGGTTTTTGGGGGTCCCTGGNTGCTGAGCCCGGTGATCCGGCTGCGCTGCGCCATGACCCGCCAGGTGGCCACAGGTGCGGCTTTTGGGGGGCCGAACCCCTTTTTGGGGGGATGAACCCCTTTTTGGGGTGTTATTGGGAGTCAGAGGCGCCTGCTGAGCCCGGTGATCCGGCTGCGCTGCGCCATGACCCGCCAGGTGGCCACAGGTGCGGCTTTGGGGGGGCGAGCCCCTTTTTGGGGGGCCGAGCCCCTTTTTGGGGGGCTGAGCCCCTTTTTGGGGGGCCAAACCCCTTTTTAGGGGGCTGAACCCCTTTTATGGGGGCCGAGCCCCTTTTTGGGGGGCTGAGCCCCTTTTTGGGGGGCCAAACCCCTTTTTGGGGGGCTGAGCCCCTTTAATGGGGGGCTGAGCCCCTTTTTGGGGGGCTGAACCTCTTTTTGGGGTGCCGAACCCCTTTTTGGGGGGCTGAGCCCCTTTTATGGGGGCCGAACCCCTTTTTGGGGGGATGAGCCCCTTTTTGGTGGTGTTACTGAGGGGCTGAACCCCTTTTTTGGGGGGCTGAACAATTTCTGGGGTGTTTAGCCCATTTTTGGGGGGGCAGAACCTCTTTTGGGGGTGTTATTGGAGAGCAGAACCCATTTTAGGGGTGTTTCTGGGGGCAGAACAGCTTTTTGGGGTGTTTTTGGGGAGCAGAACCATTTTTGGGGAGCTTAGCCCATTTTTTGGGGGTAGAAACCCTTTTTGGGGTGTTACTGGGGGGCAGAACCCTTTTTTGGGGGGCAGAACCCCTTTTTGGGGTGTTTCTGGGGGGCAGAACCATTTTTGGGGGGCAGACCCCCTACTCGGGGCCAGTTTGGGGCCAATTTGGGCCCTTTTGGGGCTGACTTTTGTGGCCAGGGTCCCCCCGAGCCCCCAGTCTCATTTCTGGGGGTCCCGGGCTGTGTTTTGGGGGGTCCCGACCCGGGGTGCCCCCCATCCCCCCAATCTCATTTCTGGGGGGTCCCTGGCTGTGTTTTGGGGGTCCCTGGCTGTTTTTTTGGGGGGTCCCTGGCTGTGTTTTTGGGGGTCCCTGGCTGTGTTTTGGGGGTCCCTGGCTGTTTTTTTGGGGGGTCCCGGCCCGGGGTACCCCCAGCCCCCCCAGTCTCCATTCTGGGGGTCCCTGGCTGGTTTTTTGGGGGGTCCCTGGCTGTGTTTTGGGGGACCCTGGCTGTGTTTTGGGGGGGTCCCGGCCCGGGGTACCCCCAGCCCCCCCAGTCTCCATTCTGGGGGTCCCTGGCTGTATTTTGGGGGTCCCTGGCTGTGTTTTGGGGGTCCCTGGCTGGTTTTTGGGGGGTCCCTGGCTGGTTTTTGGGGGGTCCCGGCCCGGGGTACCCCCAGCCCCCCCAGTCTCATTTCTGGGGATCCCTGGCTGTCTTTTGGGGGTCCCGGGCTGTGTTTTGGGGGTCCCTGGCTGTGTTTTGGGGATCCCTGGCTGGTTTTTGGGGGGTCCCGGCCCGGGGTACCCCCAGCCCCCCCAATCTCATTTCTGGGGGTCCCGGGCTGTGTTTTGGGGGTCCCAGGCTGTTTTTTTGGGGGTCCCAGGCTGGTTTTTTGGGGGGTCCCGGCCCGGGGTACCCCCAGCCCCCCGATTTTGGCCCCCCAGACCACAAGGCGTTCTACGTCATCGCCAGCTGGGAGGACGGGGCCCAGATCTACGAGCTGGTGGCGCCCAGCGTGGCCGACAGGAAAACGTGAGGAGGGGGC